CTGTTGACGCATTGACTACAAACTTTGGCAAGGAGTTTTTATGAACTGTTGACTGTGTCGGATACTCAGTTTGCAATACAGCCACGATGGAGTCGTTAAAGGCTGCTGAAACTATAAAGTGGCTTTGATTTGCTCATTGCCTAAACCAAGACGAGTCAACGTCCTGGCGGATGCTTCGGATTCACTGTCAAGACAGTCATCTTCAACATGACTCTATGCTTTAGTTTAGCTGCGTCATTTTTAATGTTTGCATCGAGCCTGACAAACAATGGAATGTCTGAAGCTCGAAAACAATAGCTTTTTGGGCCATTTTGAATCGTCTTGCGCAACATTAAATTCTTTCTTGTCAAATGGAGCGAAATTTTAAGGAGGATTAAGACAGTAGTCTATTCTAATGTTTGCTTCATTCAAAAACCCGTGACATGAGGGTAAAATTCGCTACTCCGATGCCTTGGTTTGTATAATGCTGAAGCTACACTGAGAAGACCGCCTTAACAGGTGTCACTTCTGTGCAGTCAGTCGCCTCAGACATCGCACTAACTTGTTTCTCTTGCTGTGGATTTAGATCTGTAAGGCGCGTCAACCAAAGAGACGAGCCGCTCAACTTAATTCAACCTCAAAGAATACATCTCCTGTGGAGGTGGGAAGCAGAAAAAGAAGAAAACACAACGTACCGGTTCCACGATGGCTACGTGCAGTTGTTTGGCTAAAAACTGTTCGAGATTGCGGTTGACCCTATACGACCCTATGCAATAAATCGTCCTACAAACCAATCAGGAAGAAGCACTTTAATGGGTTCGATCAAATCATTGAATACTAAGGGTTGTTGGATGGCAAAGTCTGTCCACGTTAAGGAAAGCAGTACAAATTATTGGGGAGGCTCATTGTCATTCTACTTAATTTAAGCCGAACAGAACATGGAAGTTATAATTTGTGGTCATGTAGCTAGAGAACATGAACCGCACTTTTGAGTGAATTCTTTTGCCAGCATCGATGAGACTTTCAGAACTCGTCTGAAAATCCAACCTCATTCATTGTAGTGCACTACTTTGTGCTGTAAATGCTAAACAAAACTAGATCGATTTATACGATGGACCCAAATTTTTTAACTTAAATACTACACCAAACATAGATTGCAAAAATGAAGCACTCACACACTTCCTTTTGGAATGATTCTCGCTGGCCTTAACGGATGAATTTGTAGTCCGTCTCTCGCACCTTACAACTTTGTGTTTACTTATTATTTTTAAGTAGCATTATTTATTCCCTCATTTGTCAGTTGTTACAGTTTCCTCTCCTTATTTTTTTTTAAATTTTCCTTTTTTTCGATGCAAACGGAAAATAGGCTTCAACTTCAGCTTTTAGTACTTTTTCCGTCCTAAAAAACCGGCTATTTGTGGATAAATGGGTGTGAAGAGAAAAAAAACTTTGCCGACGCAACAGCTTCCAACCCTTTCATTTTAAAGAGAGTCTTTCACCTTATTATACTACTTTGAAAGCTTGATTAATCTGAAAGATAGATACTTCTCCTCCTGCGCCTTTTGAGGGTCAACGAAAATGAGCAGAAAGATCTTCGACGCATCCGTAGGCTGACCTTCAGCTATTGGACAACTCACCACCTCTAACAGAAGCTTCTCGGCCTGAAAGCGTCAGTGAACTTCAAAGCCCAACAATAGTTACTTTCTCTTCCACCGAGACCAGCTGTTGGATGGTCTCGCACCATGGGTTTAGTGTGGTAGATGAGAGAGCACCACCAGCCCAAGTCATACGTTCGGTAAAACAGTGTTCTCTCATCAAGTTTGCTAAACCATAGATGCTATTGTCATTCGTTGCTATATGACAGATCGGATACGCTTGCTTGGCAACCTCAACAACTCTCTCCTATCCAGCCGAATAATGTGTAAACAAGATGTCTTATCATCACGCGAAAAATGCATGACAGCGCCAATAGCAACGCATAAGCCTCCACAACTCCTCAAATGACAGGACCCACCACCAATCTAACGCATCAGGGCGGGAACCAAGTGATCGGAAAAGTAAGCAGAGGTGGATTATCATGTGTAACCCTAGTGATGGCAGTCCAGGCCAATGTACACTCATTCACACATAAACACTAGTTTGCACTTGGCAAGTGACAACACGTTGTGAAGCCAGGCGTGTTCACAAAAAAAAAAATCACACCCGATGATTTGCCAACCTGAAGGCATCCAGGCCATGCCGAAAATGGGAGGCCTCAAGAAAAAGAGGACAAAGTATGAGAGTTAAGGCGATGACACAAGGCATTGGACACCATTGCGACAACAGAGGGGAAGTTGACCAAATCTGAGTGTTTGTGACTTCCTTTCGCAAATTGGTTGATAGGTTGCTCTGTGGCTGGTAAGTTGACTTCGAGGCTCCAGACGTTCTAGCAGCTGTTGAACAAGGAAAAGAGGCTATTTGAAGCCGGGATTAGGATGAGAGATGTCCCTAAGGTGTCCCCAAGATCGCCTAGTCGAACAAAGAGATTAACCCAGCTATCCTCCCTTTCCCCAACTCGGTGGCATTTGAAAACGCCTAGGGCTCCTAAAACCGATGGAGGGAGACGTAGAGATTCCGGTCTGCCTGTCTGTCCCACCATCCCTACCCTAAACCCAGTCAAAACGACCATCACTCGGCCGTAGCTACATCCGCACGTGCACGTGCGTGTGTATGCACAACTGATGTTAACTCGTCGTGTGATTGGTTGCTGCACCGGGAAATGCGTCATGCCACCACACAGCCTGTCTGTCCGCATGCTTGAAGTTCACTTTGGATGGACCAATGAGAAGGCAAGTGAGTCAGGCCTAGCCTACGACCGCAGGTACGGGCTGCCTTATTCACTACCTTTTGTTGTCCTTGCGTTCTTTGTGGCCTCGACTCCTCTCTCTGTCTATATTTCGTGTTTGCGAGTTCTTTGTCCTTTTTTGTTGCACGCACACACACTCTCACAGACTTGCAATGGGAGGCAGATCCTCCAAAGTTGTTATTACGCCGGAAGCTCAGGCAACGGTTAGTTCTTTTCTCCTTTCTTGTCTCCTCCCCATGGAGTGGATTCTTTACTGCTCTTATGATTGACCTCTCTCCAGACATCTACTCAACCTGAGGGAACGATTACCCAATTGAAGGAGGTTGGGGAGAATGTGAATGGTGATAGCATTCCACCGATTGATGGAAATGCGTCTGCAAATGAACAGAACGGGGACTGTTCGACCGCCAATACAACAGCTGCAACGCTTCCTGCAGTTGACGAGCCTAAGGAGTCAAAAGTGCGTTTCTTACCCCGTTTTTGTATGCTACCTTGACTGATTGGTGGCTGGTGCTGGATTTCATGCTTTGTGCATTATAGTCTACCCATAAGAAATCTAACCCAATAATTTGGATGCAAAAGAAGATTTCCTTCAAGAAGGCAAAGGCGTCAAAGGCGGCCGTCCATGAGGAAAAGCCTGATGAGGCTGCAAAATCGGATCAGCCCGCCCCTGAACCGGTTCAAGAGAAGGTAGGAATGTCTAAGTTTGTGTCTTAATCTTCCAACATTCTGTTAAAGTCTCCTTCCCCTTCTGCAGCCAGAAGAGCATACTGGCGATGCTGAAGCCCAATCAGAGGAGATTTCAACGGTCGATCATGGCACAACCATTCCAGAGCCTGCAGCAGAGTCGTCGAATGAGCCTCTTGTGGAGATTACTCCATCCTTGAACGGACTTCAGGAGAATATTGGTGAGGAACAGTTTCTCGGAGAGCCGGAAACATTTATGGAAGGGGAAAAGGAGAACATTGCCTCTATCTCTGAGGTGAGTTCATGTCTCCACCATCAGGATGTCTTGCTTTTCCGTATGCGACTCTAACCTTCCTGTCCTACCTTCAGAAGTCGGAGGAGGAGTCCAAGACGGACGTAAGCGTAGCAGAAAAGCTTGCCAATCTGGGAATTGACTCGGCTCAGTCACTCCAGTCCAACAATGTGGATGTGCATGTCAACGGTGATACTGCTGTGGAGGAGAGCTAGGCACTGTTTCCATCGCAGCATGTACTATGTACAATTCTTCGCCATGATAACGAGTCTCCGCCCGCATTCATCCCGCATCTGATTTTACAGCTGACAAAACGACTTTACCATCGTGACTGAATGACTTGCGTTGCATTCTCATAGCTCATCCACCACCGCCACCAGCTCTGTAGTTACTTGTCTAACTTTTCACAAGTTATCTATATCGATCTGATGGACTGTCACCTCTTTCCTCCCCCCCCCCTTCCTCTTCCCACCTTGGCACTCACTGCGCTCCCGTCTTGTCGCGTCTTGCTTATACATTCAACAAACTTGTGTCGACTTCTTATTTTTCTCCTACGTACTTGCCTTCAGCCCTTCCCTTGGCGAGCATCCAACGGCACTCGGTCTGTGTCGTCTTTGCCGGTCTGGGCGGTTCTGATTGTTGTGACATTGACGACGACGACGACGGTGATTTGACGCACCTCATGTGTCTGTGATTTCATCTCCACTTGGAACTGCGGAATTGGATCGGAGTGGAGGCTGTAGGCAGTCAACGATTTGAGGGTTTCTCTTTTGTGGTGCTGTCGGAGCACACATCGGTGCGATAGTGGTTAGTCTGCCAGGCTGAACCTCAGTGTGGTGATGGGCAGCAGGGAGGACAGTAGGCAAGGTGTTGCTGGGTTGTTGGTGGAGGCAGGGACGATATACTTGACTGAGAGGCGGACGTAGGCTAACGGTCAGACGCGTGGGGCGTGTTGGCTTGTTTTCCTACTCAAAAGTAAATGCTACCCTGGGGATTGGTAGGAGGAGACAGGCACCTCCGTCAAAGTCTCACCTTCCAAGTGAATGTACTGTTTTTTTCCTACATGCTTTCAGGAGGAGTGGGTTTCGTGTTGTAGCTGGTTCCCTCTAACATCTGTCGTCCATTTCCACCAACTCCAACCAGGCAGGGGTGGGAGGTGGAGTGTGAGGACGTCGCTTGTATGGGAAGGTGATTTTTGTGGTCTTCACAAATACCGAGAGCAAGGTTTGGCATTGCAACTTTTCTTTCGCTCCTTCAGCTGTGGAGGGCTAAATGGGATCTGGCGTTCAGGCTAGGGCGCGATGGGACGGCTGGGCATTATTCATCCACATCGTCAATGCTTGTCTGTGTGTGCGTGTGTGGCTGTAGGGATGATAAATTATGCTAACAAGGTGAAATAAACAAGGCGAATTCGAGGTTTTGTTTAAGTCAACTCCTCTATTACTTACTAGCCTCCACCCATCCCCAGATTCGTTCATCCACCCTGTATCCACCCACATCGCCATTTTTATTTCAAATTCATCTGTGCCAAACACATCAAATCAACCTGTTTCAAGTTACTTCAAGGCGACTAACCTAACTGGAAGTCGTCCATGTTGAATGCATTTGTCATTCCAAAGTGCATTCTAAATCAAACCAATTTTCAATCTACCTTTTCAAATCCATCAAACCACTTCTTCATCCATCGCTTACCCAAGTATTCACTTTGGATGTGCCTACGTTGGCCGTTCCAAATTCATCCATCTCGCATCTGTCCGCATTTTACATCTATCCCGAGTGCATCTGTCCATGGTGGATTCAACTTGGAACCTCCTATCCATTCACATTCTTGACCCATCGCCCAACTTGAGTCCTCCTAGCCAACCCAAATCCATCCATCCGTCGACTCGTCCACCGACCCTCGACCTCACCATCAATCCGCATCCCAAATCCATTCAACCATCCATGCATTCACCTAACGCATGCCTTTCCATCTCTTCTGGTCTAATCAGATCAACATTCATCCACACATTCACATTTGCAACCTGTGCATGCATTTCGGGTCCGTCCGTCCATCCATGCAGATCGCATTCATCATCACGCCAATTCATCCCGACTATTTGCATTCGTCCATGTCGCAAATCCCTCCACCCACTGTTTCATCAATCCAGCCTTGCCTCCATCCCCCTTGACTACGTCGAATCCACCAATGCATCGATTCGCCCGCCTACACCTCAAACACTCTTGCAACCTCTCCTCCATCTGCTCAACCTGCATTCATTTTGTTAAACCATCGTTCCTCTTAATCCTACGCATGCATTGTGGAACACTCGATCCGTGTTTTTATATCACATGTAAACCAAAACTTTGGTAGCCATCGTGTCTTTTGTTGGTTCTTTTGTCTTGCTTCCTTCAGTAGTCACCGTTCATCTCCATTTAAGTTATATTAATGGTCTTCTCATCATGCTGTTTCCCTTCATCAGCTTCGCAAAGACCAACATTTTCAAAAATATTACAAATGAAAGCAGTGGTGAAGGTTTGTAGAATAAGTTTGACAGAATACGACATGTTTATCGCCTGCCTCCTGTCACCAAATGACGCACCACAGTGCGTCGCACCACCGCGTAGTTGTCAAGACCTTTCAATTTGCAGTCTCATCTGCCTATTGATCATTCCCAGGGGGGTTGAAGGGAGGAAGGGGTGGAAGGGCGGTTTTGCTTGATAGGTCTCAACACGTCAAGACATGAATCTATGCTGCTAAGCATAGCTTTGCATTGTATCTACCGGCGTAGGTAAGAGCACTGCCTCAGAGTTTCAATAACAAATAATCGAGTTTATTTCTTCCTTCTCTCACATTCTGAATCCTTTTGCTTACAACTTTGCTGTACCATCCTCCAGTCCTCCCCTCTCGACTTCCTAGGGTCGTCCGTTTGACAACCTCTTCGCTCTGCCCTTACATAATTATAACAATTGACAAATGAAACATCAGTCTGCATTACTTATAAAGCAGCATTGGAGGATCCAAAAATGTGGGTCAAGCTTTGTTCACTTTTTTGTGTTTTAATTTTCGCCTCTCCCCATTTCTTTCCTTTGTTCCGCTCCCCACCCTAAAATCCTGCTTTTTGCGTGTCATTTTGTAGGCTAATTCACTTGGGCAGGTTTGTTTCCATTATTTCTTTGGGGTGGGAGCTGCCTGTGCAACTCATTCCTAACGTCGGCGCTTTGATCAAGCACTCAATCGGGGACCAATCGGATGAGGCGTTTTAATGTACCCAAGCCTCGCCTCTTGCCTCTCCAGGGTAGGAGTAATCGTGCGTCACTTTTTTTTTTAGAAAAAGTAGTAGTAAGCTATGTTGGCTCCCATTTTAGCACTATCATCTCGATGTAATTGAGTATGCAAAGTGTTCCTCTTTCGTGCCACATTTGACTCCTTATTAACGAATCCTCCTCCTCCTCCCCCTCCTCCTCCTACTCCTGCTTCTGCTGCTGCTGCTGCTGCTCCTCTTCCTCCTCCAGCCATTGCTGAAGTCTGTTTAGGAGAGTCTTACAAGCAGAGGAGCCAAGGAGTAAGGCGCTTGGGTCATCCATTGACACATTCTGACGGTCTATGATAGTAACCTTGTGAGCGGTTTAAGAATGAAGATGACTTTGAGGGTGATGGCTTAGACCAACATAATGTCCAATTGTTGACACATGATTAAAAGGCCTACCAATTAATTTAAAGTTTTTTAAAGTAAATTAACAGCAGCATTTGTAAATGTGGTCCTGATTGTTATCGAAAGCTTTAAACCGTCTGTTGTCGACCCATGACTCAGGCTTAACACTGCCATTGACTAAGTTAAAGTGTCGCCTTTAGTTAAGCATCCTTTTTGCCGCCTCCTTCCGGTTGTAAGGAAACACTTTAACCAATGCTAAATCGACTGGTGACTCATTGGTGCGTTGTGGGAGGATTGGATAAAAAAAGCCCACTTCTTCCCACTCTACACCCAGGGTAGATGTTTTGACAACCACACGATTTGGTCACGATGCTTATCCACCTGGTCCCGCATCTCGCATCCCTATTCTTCATCTTACAACCTCATTTATTCGACCATAAACCAGTTGATATAAGCAGAGTCGCCGCATTAACCTTGTGTGACTATATTGGCTCGCAAATCTCATTGTCATAAAGTTGCAGAGCGATGGGTGACTAAAGCCACAGCTTGTTTGAAATGTGAATAGCTACATTATTTATGGGGGTGAAGTGAACTGGTGTCAGACTCGTAAATATTTGCTGCCACGATGTTTCGGTCATCCAAACACCTCACGCATGGTTGACGCTGTACAAAATAATAAAACATGTCTGAATTGTTCACAAAAAGGTCATTACGTTCATATTTATTTTGCGCTGGCTTTTGAAGATCTAAATAAGCAGTAAAAATGACGTGGACAGGAATAATCCACCTGTCGGTCCAGCACCACTGAGCGCACCGCCAAAAATCGATAACCGCGTGGCGCAGCGAGGCCGAGCATGAAGGTATACTGCGACGCCTTAAGAATTTCCCCCTCGATTTTCCTTAGTTATTCAAAATGGTAAGCTTGACGCTGTTGACAGAAGTTGGCAGAATAGAACACTAAAATGAGTAGTCGTAATTATCTTCAATCAGTAACTATGTGGAGGCGGGGATGGCAACGAGGGTGGCAGGGAAGCCGATGTTTATGCATCGAGTAAAGTAAACAGTTCATTTTAAACTCGGTTCCTGCGATATCACTTGGACGGATTGCCGTCATTATTCAGAGATCACATAGTGTTGTAAATGATCTAATAACTGTCTTGGTTTCCATCAAACTTGTAGCACACGAGTGAAGAAATATGGTTTAGAATATACGCTAGCAAATGACATTCTGTGACAATTTGTTAATTTGGTGGTACATATTTGCAGGAGAAAAGAAATGTCCCACATAAAGGGGTCAAAGAGCAATTAATTTCTTTGCCAACTTTTGGTGCATGGAATTTGGTGTCTGCGGGAATGATGGTTGCGATAAACCGGTGGGTTTCGTGTGAACGGTGCTTTGAAATTGCAAATAAAACTGACTTTCCAAGCAAAAGGCTTGTTTAAGGTAAATAAACACTCAATTGAGAAAATTTAATGCAAATTTTCGTCAGAAACTTACTTTATAAACAGCAATACAGCTCACACCCGCCTCTCTTTTGTTTCACGCAATCATTTGTTCCATTCATTTCGCATCCAATCTCCTGTTTGTACAACACTTTCTTCATTCATTGCTCCATGATTTTGATAGTATGAATTTAGACTACACTTCCGAAGATGTAATGGCCACTATTTTTACGGTTTCCAATCTGCTCGCATTTCATATACCCTCGTGTTAATGTAATCCTCTCTCAGGTATCATAAATGCCAACCGCGCCTATTTGGGGAACATCTATTGCCGAGAGGTGCTTGAGAAATTAGTAATTAAAGTTGGTTATAAAAAGGTTCTACTTTCTCCTGCTTCGGCGTGAGTCATCGAAATGAATGCCGTGTTGCTTTGATTAGTAAAAGAAAATTACTTTCGCCAATTCCAGAGGTTGGAAAAATGAAATTTTATTTGTGGGAAGTCGGTAAAATTAAATTGTTGGTAAATTCATGAGGCATAAACGCGTAATAGTCCTTGCCCACATTGTGGCAGGACCCGTCAAGCCGCTAAAGGCACAAGTCTCTAGATGCCTGTTGTCTTTAGGACTCTTTAATTTTATGTAAAAATGTTGGCTGGTTGCGGTACGGTAGAGGATGGGGATGTGTGGAAGGCGGCAGAACGCTCCAATGCCTGGCCATGTAAAACCCACGATCAGTGCTGACAGGTAGCTGTTTGTTCTAATTGAAAAGGAGAGTTTGTCTTAATTAATAATAAGCAATTTCGGCAAGACAAATTAACTGCTTAGACATTTTGCGCATCGCCAAATGCTGCATCACAAATCCATTTTGCAATAAAGAAATAATTGGATCACAGACGCTGCACTCGTAGGAGGAAGTTGACTCAAAGCATAGAGAAGATAACGAGGCGTAACTAATAAGCCATGCGAATAGGCCGTGGCATTTACTTGACAGTTCCGCAAAAGTTAACCCACCAAGGTACATGGAGGGCATTTTCGAGACGGCTATAGCGAATCAAACCTAAAACTTTTTTCTGTCTAATGTATTTACCCAGCATTCTTCCAAATTTAATGTAGTCCTTAAAAAATCTGTGTGCTTTGGTAATTTCTCTAAAATCATAGTGAGCTACGTAAAAGTGACCCAAATTATGTGATCCAAGAACGGAATAGTGAGCATAGGCGTTAGACACTTTTACCCACCAGAATTAGTCATCATTGGCACGAAATACATAACTTGAAACACAAAAAGAATGTGCTGTTTTTCTTTTTTAGGAGAACAAATTTTTAGCCACTTTTTACTTACTCACTTCAGCAACTCGTTAAAGGTCACAAATACCCAAGTAAAGAGCGCGATTTTAAGATTTGGAAAAGGTGACAAAGTGTGCTTGTGAAAAATGACCGGTTTTTAGGGCTCGTAGTGTGTTGGACTGTTTGAACAGTCGAGTTAAGGCCTTTTAGCTTGGCAAAAGATTTATTGCTAACTGCAAGCAAGTCTAGAAGGCTGTAGACGTGGGTAGAAGTAGATTATTCGTAGCTGAAGTGCTTTCGATATTCACAACGGCAATATATATATTTATATGGAAAACCCACAATAAATTTTGATTGATAAAACCGTTTTTACCGTTTAGAATGATGGAGACAAAGCAAAGTTACGGGTTTGATAATTGATGCAATTGCAAAATAATGCCAGTGTATTAACATGCATGATGATGTCAAGTTGATCGACTTCTACAATCTACCATGCATGTCTTTTTCACGCCTAAATTAGCCAAGAACACTAAGATACTGTAGAATAATAAGATTCTCTAAATTGTCAGTTTTTGAACGTGTAGAATACTCTCGAATTCAATCACTTTATCAAAAGCCCTTTGGAGTGATTAAAAGAAAATACCTCACCTCCTATTATCAAATCCTTAGGAATGATAAAGTTGTAACTTTATTAATAATTGCTATGAAGTTAAATTTAAAATGCTAAATTATAATTAGAGTTTAAATGGATTTCAAAATTCCGATTATTTAAAAATTGCATCTTAAATTCACTTGCTTTGTGTATGCTGTTCATTCTCAGTGTATTTATCCGCATGTAGTGTGTTTGACTGGGTAAAATGAGTCAAAGCGTGCAAGGTTTAAAGCATAAAACAAATACGCCACTTTTAGTGAGTGTAACAGTCAAAGATTGTACCTAATAAAAATTTTAGAAGTCCTTTTTTTTCTTCCTGCAATACACAAACATTCCTAGATCACAATTTCAACCACATCGCAAATGAGAGTAGTCGTATGCCCACGTTGACACTGTTCATAGTCCAAGCCATCCATCAATTTTCGAAGGACTTTAAGTTGTCCACATTTAAAAATAAGTTGAAAAATTTTCTCAAAAAAGACTTGATGTGGAATATAACGAAGAGACGTGGAGTCGTAGGCCAATGCTAAATGATCCATGTTCTGCAACATTTGGTCAAAGTAACAATCTTTAGAATTACACGACGACTATGTCTGTTCGTCTTTTCCACCGCAGACAAAAAGATTTAATAGGACGCTGAAACAGTACCCAAAACACTGAAAACCGTACCACAGGGCCATGTGGACCGGTCAAAACAGTGAGTCATGCGTGCCCAGGTTTCCAAACAGACAGAAAGGAAAGAAGTAGAAGGATAGATTAGTAATGAAAAATGGAAAATGAGCAAATATATGCGATGATATGGCAGAAGGACATTGGTGTTGCCAAAGGAGTATCTTCCCTCCCGCTTCCTGACATCCACATCACACGGATTAGCAGCCAACACGTCCACTCAGTTGTTAATGACAACTATGGGCCAACTAATGCCCCTCATACCACCATTTTGCCGACCCTAGAGCAGCAGCAATGTTGCAACGATTCTAGTGCCTCTGAGTCGACAATCAACCAATCACAGTGCTCCCTTCATCAAGGCGTTCTCTGTGTACTTGCAGTTAGTCAACAACATCTCGTCCTCCAACACGTCCTCAATTCTCCCCACCAACTGTCACACATTTATGTGAGGCTTGGCACATTTGCCACACCATGTTCAATTGTGTGGTGGTAGTAGTAGTAAGGATTGTGTCGTTCACTCGCAAAGTGATGATCTGTCATTGGGCAATGTGATGACTCACCCATAATTGACACGTGGTGATCAAATCGGTGACACTGGCTCGTTTGCTTAACAGTCTGATCCACGCAGTGACACTTCACCACATCTAATTCGTGTCGAGAAGTGAGGCCAATGAGGTCATGACTGTGTGCACAACTTCAGTGTCACGCCAACTGCCTCCTCAGCTCACTGTAGTGCACACATTCGTACATTTCCTCCAATACCATCAACGCCTCTACCTCCACCTCCACCTACGCCTATGCCAATGCCTCCACCGCTACCGCCACACCATTCGCATTCGCACTCACCACTCCTCCCATTCGTCTCTTGACACTTTGCCTCATCTTCCCTCCCAACTACCACCCTCTCCCTCACCCCACTCATGCACCCACACTCACGCATCATCATCATCATCAGCAGCAGCAGCAGCACCAACAGCAGCACCAACAACCATCACATTGCCAAATGCGGACCAATTTTTTCACCCACCCACTCATTAACTCGCACTCCACTCTTCCCACCTCTCTCTCTCTCTTTCTCTGTCTCTCCCTCCTTCCCTCCCTCCCTCCATCCCTCCA